GTGTTCATTTTCCAATGACCTTATTTTGTATGTAAAATGAGAAGAAAAATCGATCAATGTAAAAAGAGACGTAGCGGCATTTTAAGGAAAAAAACAATTGCACATTGCAGATGCAATGGTGTACCTATGTGCAAAGAATAGAATCATCAATCGATCAAAGGTCAAAGTAAATATTTTATACGAGAGATATTTTATAACTTATATTAGAATAAAATATGAGGTATCTCGTTGCTTTTACAAAATTATAAAGAGAATCGATCTATACGTATAAAAAAACAATTTGAGAATAGGAAACAAAAGACTGAAATGGCGTTCTATGTACACGAAAGATACTGATAAATCTCAAAATGTTAAAGTTGATTTTATCACTATCTTGAATCATTTATAAGAAAATAATTTGCGACACTATAAATTTTACACCCTATATATAATGATTATATTATCCCTATATAATTTTGCGCGCAAAAACTCGGTAATCGATGGAAATGTATCGACATATATACATCACTGCTTATTTTATGGTTTATGAATGTCCCTGCGTTTACGCCGACAAAATGATCAAAGTAGAATAAAATTCGTGTGTAGTTAATTTACAAGTGGAAATACACTGAGTTATACGATAGCTTTTTATTTAAAGCTCGTAAGCCGCGCGTAGCTCTAGGAGTTTTCCGATAAATACGCCCAGCTATATGAATCCATTTTTTTTACAACACTCGCCAGATATACCATTTTAAAAATACTTCTTCACATTTTTCAATTTTATAATTAATTACTTTATTTGTGATTTTTTTCTGTTACTTTCCAATGTTTGTGATAGAAATGTTTTCAATTATATTTTTAGATTCGTTCAAATTTATCCGAAAACACGATCGACTGTTAGCCCTAATCTCAAAGCCAATAAGAGAAGAAAAGAGAAGATAATTATATATTATATTCCGCATAATTTAAATCCGCTATCTGCCGTCGTTGGCACTTACATTAATGAATCGTGACAAGAGCTTTTTTCCCCGAGTCGATATCCGAATAAAAATCATTATTTTTCTTGGAAAAGTCTAAAGTCCGCAGTCGAACGAAACTTGGAATGACTACTTAAAAGGAGAACTGAATAGAATAACAAAAATTTATAGATAGCATAATATAGAAAAATTTGAGATGCGAGAGATGGATTTTTAGAAGGTGAAAGGGAGATTCGCTCTTTCTCATCTTGTATGAAAAAAACTCTTTCAAAGTTGCTCCCCTCGATATACGTACGTATATATAAAACGAGAGTGAAAAGAGGGGGGAGGGAGGGGGGGGGGGTAAAAAGAAAAGGAAAAGATCAAATAGATAAAAGAAATTTAAAGCATATTTCTTTCACAATACCTGCACGTACTTCCACTCTTCCCGCGTTTGCCCTCTTTTTCGCCAGCCACTGAGTCCACCGCGAGAAATCCCGCCTCGCCACCTGTTCGTGCGTGCTCTCAAGACCGCATGCCGTATAATCACCACCCCTTCCTTTTCTCGCCGCTCCGTACGGCACTCTCGGAAAATTGCCGATACTGCTCGTCTTTCTCTTTCCTTCTTTTCTTCTGCAGCCGCGAGACCACACCGGAAGAGATCCGTCGGCGCGTGCCACCGGTTTTCTCACGCTGATTCTTGACAACGATTGACGACGCCGACTTTTATTTCCGATACGACCAAGGCGGCGATGTAGACGCGTACGATATAAACGTTGGCGGAGACGACGTCCCGTGATGACGGACGACGGCGACGGCACCCGACGCTCTTCTCATGGTCGGGAGACCCGGCGACCTGCGACGCTACGGTGTTGGGGGTTGCGACGTGCCTGACGCGCGAGGGCAACCGACCGACCGACAAGCTCCGTCCACCGTCTATATATCGCGACACGCGCGCGTCCACCGCCCCGTGAAAGGATGCTGGAGGCTGCGCCGGATGGGCCTGCGAATGCGCAAGCTCGCAAGCCTCGTAAACTCACCCTCTGCCTGTAGGCACCTCACCTTCTCGACCACCCTTTACGAGCAAGAAGGAAAGATAGAGGTAGATGGATAGACAGAGATAGCGAGCGAGCGAGCGAGGGAGGAGGAGAGAGAGAGGGAGAGAGAGAGAGAGAGAGAGAGAGAGAAAGGGAGAGAGAGCTGTTTATACCTGCCGCCTGGCTCTTGTCAAGCCACCTTGGATCCAACCTCGAGAACATCCCCGTTGGCCATGCAATTCAGGTCGAACCAAGTTGGGTTGTATATATTAGCGTTAATAGCGAAAAGAGTTTATTTTAGTTCTGAAGAAAATCCTACGATAGATAAGCGCAACAAGTACAATATACTAGACGAAACTTCTTGAAATGTATAAACAAATAAGAGAGTGTGGAAAATGCAATACAAAGTGAAATGTTATACAAAAATATTATTATTATTATTAAAATGTTAAGCATATTGTATACATATACATATGGCATACGTGTATACATTTTACGATCCATTAGTTTTTCTCCATATACAATACGTACTTTTAAGTTTTTAATTTAATGGATACGCTTTTCTCTGCTTTCAAAGAGT